CCACAGGCCGACCCCGAGCTCTGCGCGGCCAGTCATCTCGGCGCCTCCTTTGTCGGTGTTCCCGCCTGGCCAGCGCACGCAGGCGCTCCGGGGGGCCCTGCCGAGGAGCCCAGCTCTCAGAGGCGTGGTCCCTCTGGGGACTTGTCCCGGCCCCCCCCGCGCCCCCCCCCGCCCCAGGCGCTGGTTTGGCGGCGAACATGTGCTCGTCACTACGTCCGGCACCCCCTCTTTGGTTCTTGGTCCTCCCCACTTACTTCTCGCCTCGGCGAGCTGTCTCTATTTTTTCCTTGCCATGCTGGAACCACAGGCCCACGCGCGGCCCCTCCCCCAGCCGTTTGTCGGCACCGCCAGCTCTGTCGGTCTTGTGGGTCGCGCGCTCCGTGCGCTCACTCCCTCGTCTTGTCGCCGTCGACCGGCCTGTCGCCGTGCTGCTCGTCGCCGTGTCTGGGCATTGCCTCCGTTTCCGCGCGCGCCCCACGCCCGGGTGGCCTTTGGGGCGGTCGCTCCAGTGTGGTCCAGCTTCTGAGGGCCCGGCCGCGGGCTTTAGTTCCGTGCCGATTGCTCGACTTGCTCTGCCTCGTCGCTGCGCGCGGGGCCGCGATCGCCAAAAGAGCGCGCGTGTGCGTGTGCGTGTGCGTGTGCGTGTGCGTGTGCGTGTGCGTGTGTGTGTGTGTGTGGTGTGTGTGTGTGTGTGTGTGGTGTGCGTTGCGTGCGTGGCGTGCGTGCTGCCTGCTGCGTGGCGTGCGTGCGTTGGCGCTCTTGTGTGTGTGTGTGTGTGGTGTGTGTGTGTGTGTGTGTTTGTGCGTCCGGCCTTCGACTTTTTGCGGCTCCGCGCCGCCTCAGCTCGTTCTCATCCGTCGCTCCTTGACGCATCCCCTGGTCGGCCCGCTTGCTTACTCGATCTCAACCCGCCTTCCAGTCTCGGTTGGCTTATGTCACCGTCCACCGTCACCGTATTTTCATTTTCGTGTAGTCCTCGCTCCTCCCGCCATCATTTCTGGATGTTATGGCGGTGCCCGCACTGCGAGAACTGCGCTCGCGTCCGACGCGCGTTTCCAGTGCCTGCATGCCGAGTTTGTGCGCCAGTCGCCACGGCGCGGGGCCGACGACGCGGACGCCGCAAAAGGGTGTGTGTGTGAGTGTGTGAGAAAGTGTGGTGTGAGATCGAGAGTGTTGTGGTGTGTGTGTGTGTGTGCGTTGTGTGCGTGGTGAGCGTGAGCGATGAGCGTGGCGTGAGCGTGAATAAGGGGACGTGTGAGCGTGTGAGCGTGTGGCGTGTGAGCGTGTGATCGTGTGAGCGTGTGAGCGTGTGAGCGTGTGTAGCGTGTGAGCGTGTGGAGCGTGTGAGCGTGTGGCGTGTTAGCGTGTGAGCGTGTGCGTGTGAGCGTGTGAGCGTGTGAGCGTGTGAGCGCGTGTGCGCGTGTGCGCGTGTGAGCGTGTGAGCGTGTGAGCGTGTGAGCGTGTGAGCGTGTGAGCGTGTGAGCGTGTGAGCGTGTGAGCGTGTGAGCGTGTGAGCGTGTGAGCGTGTGAGCGTGTGAGCGTGTGAGCGTGTGAGCGTGTGAGCGTGTGAGCGTGTGAGCGTGTGAGCGTGAGTGTGTGTGTGTGTGTGTGTGCGTGGCTGTTTCTGTTGCTACTGATCTTGTCTTACACGTCATCCTGCTCCTTCTCTCCAGTCGGCTGGCCGCGTATTTTTCCCAACCATCCTGTGGTGTTGGGTCCTCGTTTTGAAGAGACAGCGCCCCGCGTCCCTCCCGCCTCCTCCTCCTCCTCCTCCTTCATTCCTGCGCTTCGCCCACCCA